GGTATGAAATAAATTGAACATTAATTATCCAGCAAGATAGATCCACTCAAATCGAAGCAAAACAGGAAAACTAAAACTATAGTAATACTCAAAAAAGGTACTTACAGAAGGGCTCGCTTTTCGTTGGAGGATTGGAACTGCCACTCACGAAGTTTAGACATGATGCAAAGTTTGAGATTTACTTTCTATTAGAATATTTGAAAAGTCTTTACGGTCCACTGTCCGAACCACAACTGCCGGTTTTTTCTCTAATACTTTTTCATCTTGGTTTTGGTAGTGGTAATCGATTCAGCATAAAAACTAGTGTATTCACCTCGATTAGGAAAAATCCAAAACCAGCAGTTTCTGCCGTCAGCGACTTTACTTGAATAATAATAAAATTGAAATCCGAACTATAATTTCCTCTGAATATCGTAATTCTCTACTGATATCCTGTGAGCTAAATAATTCTAAGAATATGATCTAGACTAGGTTATTGTACTGTTCTTGAATGAAATGAGAATTTTAAATATTCTCAATAAAATTATAGTTTTTATCCATTCTTGACACATTTCCTCCACCTCTGAAAGCGGGCCCCTCGCTTTATGAAAACCTAGGAATCTTAAAATCCCCATTCATACCTAGAAGTGAGAGATAAAAAAACTTATGATCAATAAAACATAGTGGTCAAGTTTTAGAAACAAAGTATTCATCTACCTATCCTGAAAAAAACTTATCATTGAAAAAAATTGATAACAAATTGAAATCAAATTCACTAGAATATCACTGATGAATCTAAAATATAATGAAGAAAATTATCCAAAAAACATCGAACTCATAGAAATTAAAGTTCTAATGTCCAACTATGACTGAGTCCAACACAACATTTGGCAAAAACTTTGTCACTGGCACTAATAATTCATTATTCCGAATACGGTCCTGTTCACTATCAACCTGGGTTTTCCATCAATATGACGAGCAACTAGGGCTTGCTCTCACGCTCACGGTGTCGTCAGGTGTCGTCGTGTAGTCTGCTGGGTAGAATACACTAGTATACAGGATACGCTCACGGCCTGGCCACCACCGACCACAGGGATGGTGGTTAGAAGTCTTGGTTAAGGAGTAGTTTCATAGAGAGTTCCTGAATCATACCTGGATATCCTTGTGATACCCAGCTGAATAATGCACTGCTTGGTCCGGAATATAAATTTTCGTTGAATTTTGGACGCGGTACAGTCAATGACGGCACTCTATATATGGCAATCGCACGTCCATTGATTATTTCTTCAGTGAGGTCCATATTCAGCCTTAGTTCTATGGTGCAACAGAATGTCTCAACGAGGATTCTCTAACCGCACCCATGTCTGCAACATTCGTTCTATATATTATGTGAACTTGTATCCTCAGGTGTATCCTCCCATGTAGATCAACAGCAAACCAAATGGCATCTCTTACGAATCCTTCATATCTGCTAGTATGAAGCAGCCGGTACTCAGTTCCCAGCTTTTCGTTGGTAGTTGCCTTTCCTGAACCGTCCTCGAAAATGTGCAACATGGAACAGTGAACCAGTGGTAGTCCTCCGTATTGCCAGTGAGGGTTGTCGTTTGTTGTGTTGCCTCGCATCAAACAAGTATAGTACATGAAACAAGAGAAACTTTGTATGAATATACTGTATAGTACTTAGTTAAAATATGAATCTATTTATAAGCCTATATATCTACCTAACTATCTATTCGAAATTCAAACAAAATGAGTAATTGTCTCTATTATATATATATATATTCATATTTTTTACAAAATGCCCTGCATGCTGAATATCTTATCTTATCTTCTGAAAATGACCTACATTATTGACAGAGAGCTACTCCCTTTTTTTTGTATCTGAATTTTCGTTTGTTTTCACACTAACAAAATTGTTGAATTTCAGAACAGTGTTTTAACCGATCCCTCTTTTTTTATATTGGTACCTTATTTATTGTAATAAAAAATTTCGATTTTTGATTTTTTTTTCCTTTCCGCAAATCTATTTCTTAATGACTTTTTTTTTCTTCTCCTTAATAGACTCAATTCACATAATATATGAAACATGCATTACTGAACAATTCAAGAGTAATTTACGTATGTTCTGTTTCCAGAAAAATTATCTATCTACTCAATTTATCAATCATCATTACATATCTGTGCATGCGCATGTCTTCAATCTTTTCATATTCATCTCTTAACATTGCTTTATCATTGTTTTTTGTATTATTATTCTTGACATAATATACTTTTTCTATACTTTGACTGTGTTCAATTGAAATATTCCATGATCATTCTTTATCTTCTTCATATTTTTAATAATAATTCTTTTCCGTTTTCATCCATTTCTAGGTACCTAGCATCACGCATTCTATACATTTTGATAGGTATTCGTGGAATTCATTAGGAAAAGTGATTCAAATAGGCTAGTCCGGGCCCTGGACTCTCGTTGCCAATTTGAATTACCTTGCATTCTTTCTAAATAACTTATTCTTACGTCCATCTTTTTTTTTGTCTAGTCATCATTCTTCGTTCCTACACTTCAACATTCATCATTACTTTCACTCTCTTCATTGTTTATTTTATGTAAAATGCATTTAACGCTCTCGCCTGGTTTTAATTTCAATGCTTGCGAGTCGAGTTCAATGCTGAATTGGTCCATATTAGACGAAGTGGTTCTGGTTGCGGAATTCGTGTGTGAAGTATTATTTTCATTATTTCTTTGATTTTTACGAGCGTTGCACCAATTTTTGAAAAATTTTATCAGAACATATCCTTTGAATAAGCACATAGCGGTAATTAATAATCCAAAAAATAAGTCATGTTGAATCAGGTTATTATTGGTTTCAGCGTTTACTCGGTTGACAACGTTCGGTAGGAGGGCTAATGCATTTTGTCTTCTGAATAGGGAATATGCCAGTAAAATTGAAATTACAGAGTTCCATATAAAAAAAATTGAGTCACTTTTCAGTCCGTGAGTATTTGCATGCCCGGCGCCTCCACCATAATGTCACGAGTGGCTCTAACGCCCACTATCGCAACTCGAACTTACTCGCTTGCAAGAGGTTTTTTTGAAAAAGATAACTAAATAATTTAACTCCACTTCACAAGTTTATTCATTTTGAATAAAAACAATTAGGGTATGAAATAAATTGAACATTAATTATCCAGCAAGATAGATCCACTCAAATCGAAGCAATACAGGAAAACTAAAACTATAGTAATACTCAAAAAAGGTACTTACAGAAGGGCTCGCTTTTCGTTGGAGGATTGGAACTGCCACTCACGAAGTTTAGACATGATGCAAAGTTTAAGATTTACTTTCTATTAGAATATTTGAAAAGACTTTACGGTCCACTGTCCGAACCACAACTACCGGTTTTTTCTCTAATACTTTTTCATCTTGGTTTTGGTAGTGGTAATCGATTCAGCATAAAAACTAGTGTATTCACCTCGATTAGGAAAAATCCAAAACCAGCAGTTTCTGCCCGTCAGCGACTTTACTTGAATAATAATAAAATTGAAATCCGAACTATAATTTCCTCTGAATATCGTAATTCTCTACTGATATCCTGTAAGCTAAATAATTCTAAGAATATGATCTAGACTAGGTTATTGTACTGTTCTTGAATGAAATGGGAATTTCAAATATTCTCAATAAAATTATAGTTTTTATCCATTCTTGACAATATCACCAACATGGAAAATAATTCGAGGACAATGAGGATAACTCGATGCTCTTATTCTCATGAAAAACGATTTGAAGAACAATATCACAAATTGAGTTACAATTGTCAAAACGAACATATGTTTCAATAAATGAATAATTAATATTGGACATCCACGGAAAATAAGGAATTGTTGAATTAAGCAAAATTCAATTGAATGGAGCGAATAAAAGTGTCATATATGCACGACAAAATATAATCTTGAAATGAGTAAATCTATATCTTGTTTCAGGGCGAATTTGAAGTTTGAATCAAGTAAATATGTCTTGCATTAACTCTGGATCCTCTTCAATCAAGTACATTCATGAATTATTCATGAAGAGATATTGAATTGGATCAAACAATCATTTGTTTGATTCAAAATAACAACCTATTGCCTCAATCAAATAATTGGTTGATTCAACGAAATATTTGGTTGATTTAAAGAAATATTTGGTTGATTCAATGAAATATTTGTTTGATTCAATGAAATATTTGGTTAATTCAATAAGATATTTTGTTAATTCAAGAGGAACTATATATCCATTCGACAAATTGTTTTGGTGAACCAAATTCAATATTCGGGAATTTTCTGAAATTTCACATCAATAGAATAAACAAAACTAGTTCGATTCATCCAGCTGATATTTCAAACACGAAGAATCAGGCTTCACGTATATAATGAATTCGAGGCAGGCATAGACGGAGCGAAATGATCGCCATCTAGAGGCGGAAATTTAAGTTGATGTAGAATGAACAGAACATTTCATTGATATTACAAATTTCGTTGCTCTATTCAAGCAAATGATTCGTTCGAAACAAGTTCATTGCTCCATCGGATTAAGCAAACGTCGAAGATATATTCCCATCAAAATGATCATCATCTGATCAAATCAACAAAATGTTTATAGTTGAATCAACATCGACATTATCTTGGATCAATATGAATTGTTTTTGATAAAACCATATATTTTGTTGATGGAATTGATATTATACTGTTGATTCAATCAGACTACATTCTTGATTTGAACAAGCTGCTTCCATGAAATGATCATGTATCTGGTTGATTCAACAAAATATTGCTTAGTCCAACAAAAATAATTCAAGTATAAATAATTTGTTGATGTAACAAATCCTTTTTTTCCGTGATCAATTTTCTTCTTAATTAGCGCGCTGCCACTAGAAAAGTTTTTCACCTAAGAGCATTCTTCGTCGCAGCTCCACTATACTATATTCCATTCAGAATCAGAGTATTGCATTACATCTATTATTATAAAAATCGTTGATACTCACTTGTGGACAGATGTTATCTCCAAATTGGTTGCACATAATGGCTAGTTCCCTTATTTGGGGCATAATACAGTTGTCGTAATGTGTGTAGTAATATGTTCCATTTGTACTATTTTTAGTTTCCCATATGCCTGTGATCTCGCAATATTTATACGCCTTTGCTGAAAATAAAGAGAGCGAGTGATAAATACATTGCTTGATTACGAACTTTGTTAATATCCGAACGTCATGTATGTTCACAACGTTTAACTCGATTTAGAAACATTCACTTTTCAGAATGTTGATTCGAAATAACTGATGACTTCAATTTTGAATCCCGAACATTCATATTCCGAAGTGGAAATCTGATTGTGAAAAGCTAATTCGAATACGGAGCTGTATTTTGTGCGTTTACTCGTTAGTATAAATATCAATAATGAAGTGCGAAACAACATTCTCATAATGTGTTTATCATTTTGCTAACTGTGCACTAATGAAATAATTCTAATAATTCATTAATATACCATCTCGAGAAACATTCTTACAAGCTGTACATAATGTGGAGGTGCCCCGACTTTTTGCAAATTAAGTGGTCTTCCTTTCGTCATTCTCAATGATGTCTACTGATCGTAGGCAAAAATAACCCAGTATTTTCCAATAATGGATAGTTCAAACGAGTCTATTCGCAATAGGAAACAAGCGTACACTTCCTAGTTCTTGGAAGCTGTCAAGTTTGCTTTGTTTTCATTGGTAACATTTGTTCTTGTTTGTGCTTATTGGTAATATCATCAAAACAAACCGCTCAAAAGTGTTCAAGTTGCTGCCGTCAGGTGTGGCGACGTTCATTTTCAATCGCGAATCTCGTAAGTTTTGTCGCTGATTTGTGACCATATTACTGTTTGACTGATACTTCGAAGGGAGCAGTCAACTTCCCTACTAAATTCTGTATACAGGGTGATTCAGAAGTAAGCGGCTATATGCCACGACGAAAATTGAATTACATCTATTGAACACACGATAAGAACTTGAAAACAAAATCTTCTGAAGTAGAGGATTTGCATTATCCTTCATATGAAGATATATGAATATGACATCATTCTGAATATTCAATGTTAATAATGAATAATTCAATGTTCGACGTGGCAAATAGCCAGGAAATTAGTTGTTTTCTGTTGAATAAACCGAGAAAGAATTAAATTCTTCCATCACATGGAGAATGTGATGAAAATATCAATTGTGTATTGTATTTCTTCATATACAGGATGTATCGGAATAACACCGAAAAAATTTGAGAGGCAAATATCCTTGTGATATTCTAGCAAATAAAGTTTATGTAAACATGTATCCAAACTTGCTCCGTTTTTGAGATACAGGATGTTGAAGTGAGAAGTATCAATTGTTTTTATTCATATCTCCCTGTATAAGCTTTCATGGTGCCAAAATTTAGTATGGTTGGAAACTGCGGGAGCCCGGAAATTTCAATATGATTGTGATTGGGGTTATTAAGTAATCTCAATGGAAGTCTTGAAAACACCTACAGTAAAATTTGGAGTAAAATCGAATTTTAATTTTGTTTCCTCAAAAAATTAGCTAGATACTAGAATCACACAAAGGAAAAAATTTTGTTATTTCAATAGTTCAATCTAATCAAAATATGAAACTCAGAGAAACTCGTGGCGTACAATGACATTCACTATAAATATCGATAAATTTACTCACTGTGAGGCCACTGGAAATATCATTTCGATTCTTATTGCACCAGAAGAAGACTAGAGTCTAGCCATAGCACCAGTGCGAGAATATTGCGCCTGGTGCGCAGGTCGCTGGGCGCGAGAAACAGAAAATTTCGTTGCTTGCTCGCTCGCTCGCCGAGCGCGAGAAGCGAGGCGAGAAGGGTTGCGGCCGTGCGGCGCGGGACAAATATTGGAGCGAAACAATAAAGATCATCATTGGTAAAAGAATACCCAATACCCTTAATTGGCGGCGAATCATGTATCACGGGAAGGAGATTTGTTGGTTGCCATTCGAACTGTTTCCAGAATTGTCAGTTTGATGATGTTTGGTTCACCAGAAACGTCTAATGTGTGCCCTCACCGTTAATCACCCTGTTTGCACTACAGGAGTCTTCTCGTTTATTTTTGACCGCCCCTCTAACTTAGTTTCTCAGAGTTCAATTGTTTTATTTTTTGTTGTTCGAAATTTCATTTTTATAATTGTTCCTATTTCGAACACACTTTTTATTTTAGGAATATTTTGAGTTTGTTTTTGTTTATCAAATATACCTAAATTTTAAACTGTGTATCTTTTACCATTTTCAATATATTTAATTTAGATCGCTGCGATATTATTTTTGCAAGGGAAGGGGGAATTTTTGTGGAATTATATAATTATATATGTATATACCCAGATAGCACACACAAGTACCTTCTCAGAATATTATACGAATATTTTCTAGGAACGGTCTATGGATATACAAAGAGGGCTGTTCTAGATATTCTGAGAATGTTACTGGTAGGTATATTTTTTATAGTAATAAAATTTAAAAAAGCTTGCTCCGGTGCGGGCTTGCGAACCTACATAGTTATTTACCTGTCACCTTAACCACTGAGCTACAGACCTTTTTAATGAATGATATGAATGGGAAGATCTCAACACTTAGTGGCATACAACCATTATAAATAATGGGTTTGGTAAGGGGAACACTTTGTATATCAATACATGAATAATAACATCAATTTCATAATTTGATACGATTCTGTATATATTCTCAGAATATTCGAAAAGAATATTCTTGTGTATCTATGTCAAATTGAATGTTCATAGAATATTCGTTGCAGGATGAAAATATTTTATGATCATTTTAAGGACATTATGTTAGAATATTCTGAAATAATTATATTTGAACATTGTCATTCTAGAATATTCCATTTCAGAAGCTCATTGGAACATATTTTCAGAATATCATTAGTATATTCGCAAAGTATTCCATGAATGTTCACAATATTCTGAAAATATTATTTAATGAACATTCTGGAATATTATATCCCAGGAGCTTCTAGGAATGTACTTTCATGTAATACCATCAGAATATTCGCATGGAACATTCCATAAATATTCTCAACATACTGAGAACTTTCTATGCATATTCTTCAGAATATTATTCTAGAAGATGACATTTTCGCAGCTTGTAAGAATATTCTGAGAATATTCGTGCTATCTGGATATATATATATGTAATAATTATGAACAGTACAGTGTTAATTCAATTTGAATAAATTGATTTGAGGTGTGTCACGATTCTAGGGATCACCCTGTAACATGGTATCAACTAGGAAAGCAGTTGTCTAATGTATCATTTCACAACAATGACTTATTTGTTTTTGTTTCGCTGCAATTTCTCGCGCCCAGCGAGCAGCGAGCGACGCGCAATATCATTTCACAATGACTTATTTATTTTTGTTTCGCTGCAATTTCTCGCGCCCAGCGACCTGTGCACCAGGCGCAATATTCTCGCACTGGTGCTATGGCTAGACTCTAGTCAGAAGAAGCACTATATTACTATTTACAAAATCACAACGTTTTATTGAAATTGATGGAAAGACAATTGAGTAATGAATAAAAAAACGATTTTTCATGAAAATATTGATACCCTGTATCTCGAAAACGTAGCAAGTTAAGACACATGTTCGCATGAACATTATATCCTCAAATATCACAAGGAATCGCCCCTTGAATTTTTCTGGTGTTATTCAGATACACCCTGTATATATCCATTTTTTGTGTTCATAAATATATCTGAGAATATTCGTTTTCAATCCCTTCTTTTGATATTCAAGTTATCATGATTTAGGCAAATCAGAATGTTTTCAAAATCGGTTTTCTCTTACATGGTCGGCTCTATGGAAATAGACTAGGAGCACCTTTTTCACGTAAAAAACTCTAGCATTTTATAATTATTGAACGAAATCAGGAGAAGCGATATTCTCACTCTAACCCTCTACCGCATGTGACGCTCCTGAATGAAATTTTGCATTTCTGAATTCAGAGTCTTATTGAACATCAAATGTTCATGCCGTACACCAATTTTCGGAGATTTATTGTGGAGAATTTCAAAGTTATAGAGAAAAGATAATCTTCGAAGTGTCGATTCGAAGGGGCGTAGCATTTTCGGACCCTTATGAATAGGCAGTTTTTGCCTCATTTTTCTGCAAGGAATACGCCCCTGATAGGATGCCCCTCACTTTTGATTCACCCTGTATAGTCGGTAGAGCTCATGTTAAACTGATCATTATTTGTGTCCAAGCGACATCTTTCATTAATATTAGAAAAAATATTGTACCAGTCAAGAAACGCGCCATTTTGTGTGACGATGCGATTTTGAGGACGATCGATGCGATAGATCCCGCAAAACACAGACGTGAAAACTTCACAAACGATAGATTTCCATAAAATTCTTGAACACACAACATGTTTTGCTAACACAGTTGCTTCGTCAGGTGATATACTGGTACAATGAACTGAACCAACGTTGGCTTGCTTCACTTTTATATATCCTACTTTCATAACTTGAAGGATTAATTACCTGTGGACAGGATCGATAAACCTCCATTTTCGAAAATCAGGAACAATATCTACATTGAATAACGGTATACCGAATTAACTTGAAAGGAAAGATAGCAAATTAATATCAATACCTACTAAGAAAATTAATTCAACTGTGGTGAACTATTGAGGTCTAATTGATCGTTAAGTAAAATGTAAAAATTTTCGAGTTTGTTGATTTTTAATGATTTTAAAATGATTGAGTTTCATTTCTTTATTTTCTACATGTAGAATTTCCATATGTGGTAGTATTGCATTCGATAGATATCATTTATGTGGTTCATTTGATGTATGTAAATGAATGATGATTTTCGACTCATGACGGTATTATTCTGGAGGTGCAATGTGGTGAGGTTCTATACAGACCATTCAGGTAGAGAATTAGTGAGAACTAGTTTGGAGATCGCATGCACATTTGAAGAATTTGAACTCATATTGAATATATGAATCATCTGGCAATGATACCGCGAAGTAATCCACAGCATTCGACATTGAATTCATTCATCCGTGTACTTGAATGGCATTGGGATTGTGAGCATTTTTTTGGTATTCATAAAATAATCTCGGTGTTCATCTAATGTTATTCAGTCTGAGTTATGATCCAATGTCTCATCTGCATACACGGCACGCATACCGAGAATATAATCAAAATATCGTCTAGGATAGTAACTTGCGAACATTCAAGGACTCCAGAATGAATGATCAGCTATGTTTGATAG